ACTTCACCACTCTGGTCAGTGTAGGTTGGTGAAGGGTGGTTGGAGGGAGGGTGGCACCCAGGGATCGGTCCATTGATGTATAAATTCAGAGCACTCGCCACTGATGTTAGCCGTGGCCGTTATTCGAACTCGGGTCACCGAGGTCATGGTGCATAGCACTAACCAGTGCACCGCCAATATTGTTATATAACTGACCCATTATAAGGCACGTGAGAGGTGTAGTAACGTAGAATAATTTGTGAAAACAATCAAATGAGCTGACACTGCAGAGACGACACAAGCAAAGCATTTTGGGAAAGATAGGACGTGGCGAAATTAAATGGGAGACATTTTCAAAAAGCATATGAAAGTAGTTCTGTAAGCGTATCATTATAGTTTCCCGCACCTCCGATTAGCACGGTGGACTACGTACGGTGTGCAAGAAGTTCAACATACACACATACATTAAAATCCAGTATTGTGCCATAATACACACAACGGGAATGGCTTGACCCACATATACAACAAATCGCAGCGTACCTCGTGGAAACGCCGCGTTGCTTCGTGGAGGCCTTCGCTTGTTTCCGTGCAATGTTATGGGGAGGAAATTGGCGAGGGACGTTGTCAGGGGAGACGGAGCTATTTTTCCCCTCCTCGCGAGGTCAAACAGAGGAAAGCGCCATGGTTATTTTGACAGCGGCTTGGCGATGAGGTTGCCACCCGTCCTGGGGTTTTTTTTCCTTCCTCCAGGCATTCGCCTTCACTTTAAAGGTGGTTATCCCTGCAGGGCGAGGTCAAACAGAGGAAAGCGCCATGGTTATTTTGACAGCGGCTTGGCGATGAGGTTGCCACCCGTCCTGGGGTTTTTTTTTCCTTCCTCCAGGCATTCGCCTTCACTTTAAAGGTGGTTATCCCTGCAGGGAAATCTGATTTTTTTAAAATCAGTGGCACGATAATAATGATTATCGTGATGCATCCCTCCAGCCCATGCATCTATTGGAAGTTGACAGGGCCCCGGATTTGTGGACCTCCGAGGTGGCAACCCTTCCGAGGTTAGACAGCTGTGGCCCCAAAATAATTTGGGAAAATGGAATAACGTAATCTCCATCGGATATACATTTCTGGGTTCCATTCGTGCGTCGTCAGAAAGTAGGTTATGTAGACTTTCAAGCAGGAATTAGGAGCAATTTGGCTTATGTATGCCTGGAATTCGTTGCTAAGCACTGATGATTATTGGAGAGATCACACGGACTGTTCAGACAAGCCAGTGCGGCTTGGGCAGAATGGGTCCACGACTCGAAGGGACGAAGACTCGGAGGTCGAGACTCACGGCGGAGTGGTGGCCCAAGGAGGGAACTCGTCCGAGAAGGCGTCCTCCGTGGAGACGGAGCGGCGAAATCGGCTCCAGTGCTAGATCCCGAATAGTTGCATCGCATGGCCCGGGCGCATTGCGAAGGCTTCGGTGAGGCTTTCATCCAACGGTGGATGTCGATAATTGAGATGATGTATCACGGTATGGATTATAGACCTGTGTGGGATTACTCTCACTGTCAAGTTATGCATCAAAGCCCTGCCCAGGCTGCTTGCCGTAATGATTCAAACCCACGAGGGCGTGTGTGGCCAGGGATTTGCACAGCCAGATATGTGTTTTAAAAATGTCATGTTTACCAATGTGATACCGATTGTGATTTAAAAAAAATCTCATTTATGTTAATAAGAGTGCCTTCACACATGTCGCTTGGCGTAGCTTACGGGACGATAACAGGATGCAATGATGTCCGAATCAGAATACAGTATTTATTTATACTGGAGGAATCCGATGAGCTATAAAGCTCTTTCTTCACAGATGTCCAAGTAGGGGCACGGGGTAAGGATGTTACAACAACAGGGGCATGCTATGAGGATCGAGGAATTTGTTGACAGCGATCGAGGGTGACTTAGGGATCACAACATGGGGAGGGACGGCACTCGGGTGGTCGGTTTCGTAGCGCACTGCGCTGAACCACTCCACTACCACCACACACAAGGGGGCAGCACTTAATTGCGAGTGGACTATTGCTGTGTCCGTGAGACCTCTCAAGAAGGGCCCTCGCTTGGCTTAAGTTGCACCGGCGGAAGCCATGCTGCCATAAATAATCGACAGTCCGCCGTTGGATAGCAAAGGGTTGGTTCCGTAACTATCAGTGTAACTATTAGTGTAACTTTTCATTTAAAGCTTTCGTGACTGCAGGGATTCATATTCTTGGTTCTTTCGGTGAAGTCACGTAGAAGGGAACAATAATATAATAAAAATATAAAACAATAAAATTCTCACGACGTTTCGACTGCGACACAAGCAATCATCATCAGGTGTGAAACCCACAGCAAGAATTTGTTTTTCACACCTGATGATGATTGCTTGTGTTGCAGTCGAAACGTCGTGAGAATTTTATTGTTTTATATTATTTTATTGTTTCCCTTCTACGTGACTTTACCGAAAGAACTAAGAATATTAGTGTAACTGTTAGTGTAACGATCAGTGTAACTACTCATACGCCAATTTCCAAATATGGTCATCATAAAAAAATGTAATTCTCATCAGAAGCCCGTGGTGTAATCAAGTGCAGTCGCTAACTCGTCCACTCTGTCTCTCCAGCCTCTTTGTTAATGTGCTAGAAAGACGGGCCATTGCCTGAAACGTCGTCTATTATATATTTGTTTTCTTTTACGACTACACAGTGCTGTTAACGAGTGTGCTGAGTGGTTTTGGTTAGCTCTGCTTGTGTACCACTGGCAACGCATCAGCAGCAGCAACATCATCATCAAATTATTTGTTGGACGAAGGCCTTCCTTCCCCATGCCGTACCAATCTTGGGTGTTGTATGTCCATACTTGATCACCACGTTGCCTCCTGGCTTTCTCACGATCCGTCCTCTCGTCGTGAAGACTGCAGTTGTCCTCGGAAAATTCGCCACTCTTCCAAAGGGGCGTTCAAAGTCTCCGTTTATGTCTGTTGCATAACAACAACAAGCCAATCAAGACAATAATTTTATATTTAGCTCTCGTATCTTCCAACACTGTCAGATATATCTTCTTATCGTGATATGTCCTCATTTTTTTTGTACATCAGTGATGGCAATCTTGGTCACCGTTTGAAGTAAATTGGGTTTCTGAGGACAGGTTTTTTTACCCTCGATGTATGCGGTAGTAGTAAGTAGTAGATGCGTTCCAGAAAATTGGCGTGCAAAGCGAAACAGCACGAGAAGACGTCTGTCTGCCGAGTAGCACTCAGTACATACACAGTACACACGCATAGTACACATGGTACACACACAATACACACACAGTACACATAGTATACACCCAGTAGATACACAGTACCCACACAGTACACATAGTACACACACATACAGTACACATAATGCACACACACACTACATACAAGTCAAGTCCCCGGTGGCATACAAAGTACACGCACACAGTTCACACACAGTACGCATAGTACACACACAGTACATACATAGTACACACACGCAGTTCACACGTAGTACATATAGTACACACACAGTACATACATAGTACACACACAGTTCACACGTAGTACATATAGTACACACACAGTACATACATAGTACACACGCATAGTACACATGGTACACACACAGTACACATAGTATACACCCAGTAGATACACAGTACCCACACAGTACACACACATACAGTACACATAATGCACACACACTACATACAAGTCAAGTCCCCGGTGACATACAAAGTACACGCACACAGTTCACACACAGTACGCATAGTACACACACAGTACATACATAGTACACACAGTACATACATAGTACACACGCAGTTCACACGTAGTACATATAGTACACACAGTACATAGTGTACACACACACAGTACACATAGCACACACAATGTCGTCCCACGTCCGACCGCATAGCCGCATGTTGATTGAATTCAAACCGCATAACACAGCGAAGTTTGGGTGGAAACAAGTTTGCCGCATAGACAACGCGAAATCGCACAAACCGAAACCCGCGCAGAGCGAGGGAAACCTGGAGAGAGAAATCGGTGTTCTCAAGCCCCAGCATTACATCCTAGCCTGGCCTCTTGCCCCCTGACATGCCTTGACATATCGAGGGCAACAAATAATGTGTTGCCTTCAACCAGAAACAACAGCACGTACGGTGTGCACAGTCCCAAACTGTTGCTCCGACAGATTTCCCGCCTAAAGGAAACGTGCGGATGCGATGGGGCCAGTCCCTTTCCTGCCCGTTCTCTTGAGTCGTTCATTCGAAGTCAAAATAAGCGATTTGTAGGCACCATTGTGGAGAATGTAAGCAGCGCCAAAAATACGCAGACTGCACGCCTCCTTGCCATATCCCTCCAAGGCAGGGCACGCGACTCTGCCGACGAGGCTGAATGTCGAGACTCAGGTCTACGGTCTCTTGCTACTTGTTGAACCACTGCCACTGAAATGATGCACTCGCGGAAGGCAGGCCGTGCGACTGATGGGACGTGTAAAATAATAATAATGATTAATGTACGTAAAGAGGCAGATACGTAAATGTTGTGGCTTGGCTCTCCAACACACCGGTGTGCTGTATTAGTATACTATACACTACACTATACACTATACTATAGACTACTATACACTACACTGCACACTAGTGCTGTACTAGTGACGAATTGGCGACGTTCTGTTTACGTGACAACCCTTACTAGTTTGCTGTGTCCGGTGGTGGCGGGTTTAACGACACATCTATATATTTACGCGATCTAACCCAAAAAAAACCCCTCTTTTATGGAAGGAAAATTTGTCTGTTTGAAACTTGCTGGGGGAAGACAAAGGCGACTGGGCGCCGTGTCGACAACCCCAGCCAGCCCTCGCGTGCCACCGTGCCTGCCTTCGCAGCTGCTGCTGCTGCTGCCAAACAGCACTTGCCCCGACAAGCCTGTCGAGGCTACACTGGAGGGGGTGGGATCTTTGTCTCTGTGTGTGTGTGTGTCCACCCTACGCCAACAGCGCTCACGCCGTGCGCCGTGATGGGAGTGGCGCACGCGGAGTCCCCGCGCGGACGCTACCGCCTCTCGCTCGAGGACGCGTGGGCGCTGTGTCGCGCTGCGGGCGCCGAACTCGCCACCCTGGAGCAGCTGCGCGTGGCGAACGCGCACGGATTTCAGGTGTGCAGGTCCGTGGCTCGACCTTGCGCGTGCCTGTGTGTGTGTGGCCTTCATAGGTGCTCGCCAACAGCACTTGCCCCTACAGTCTGTTAAGGCTATACGGGGGATCTTTGTCTTTGTTGTGTGAGCGTGCGTACGTGCGTGTGTGCAAGTCGTCTTAGTCAGTCAACCCGTGGCACCTGGGTCTGCCCCGTGACCTCCTGCCAGCGGGCGTTCGACACTTCACGTGGCCTCAAGGTGCACATAGCCTGGCACAAGCGTCGTGGTGACGTCAACGCCACTTAGTGGCTAATGGCGGTTGTTGTGTGTGTGTGTACGTGCGTTGTGTAGCGGTTAGTGCGCCACGCTTCGAACCTGGCGACACGAGTTCGATTTCCCGCCCACGGTCAACACCAGTGACGATTATCTGAGCTGGTCCCTAGGGTCGACTCAGCCTCAAACGAGTACCTGGTGCGATGTGTAGTAAACATCGCCACGAGGGAGACAAAGGCGACTGGGCGTGGTGTTTGGCCACGCATTCCCTCGTGTGCCGTGCCGCCCTTCATAGGTAGGTGCTCGCTAACAGCACTTGCCCCAGCAGTTTGTTAAGACTCAAGGCCGTAGCCATGGAGTCAACATTGTGGGGGACCAATTCTTCCAGGGTGCCTGGGGGTCCCAACCCAGAAAAAATATCTAAATTTGAAAACTAATTTCTTGCCTAAAATAATAAAAAATCACAAACACATGCGATGGACTTTTTATTTATTTTTTACAATAATGTCTAATAGTGTATTGTATTACATTGCTCTGTTTTTCTTATTTACCTTTTCTCGTTTCATTGTACATGTAATGGCAGAGATTAGGGATTCATAAAGTACAACCATAACCACAATCATATAAACAGAAATCTATGCATTGATTGATATGAAGACAAGTCCAGATATTGTGGCCAAGGTTGAACAAAGTGTTGTTTTTATTTATAAAGCATAGGAATTTGTTTTATAGCAATATATTGGGGGGTGGGGGATCTTTGTCTTTGTGTACGCTGCTCTGCGACACCCCGACTGAAAGCAGTGCAATTATTATCAACACATAATTATCACTTATCATTCTTATTATTTTACTTTGTAAAAACATTATGTGTGATGATATGGCGTCCATGCCTACGCTACAAAGACTTTGCACTGGCTTGCTCATTAAGTCAAGGATCGAGCGCAAGATTGCTATCCTTTGACACCTCTCTGTCTCTCAACATTCTCCCGGCCATAGCTCTCCACCCTTCTCACTCCACCCTGCTCGCGGTAAACCGCTACACCCTATGGAGTTCATCATCGCACGATCTGCTGATAAACGCATCCACCGCCAGCACCTTCCATCCTGGCTGAGCGGCGTTTCGCTGTAGCTGCCACCACCGGCAGTAGCCGTCTGGAACTCTCTCTCTCTCACACACACTGCTGCACACAAAAAATACAAATATCCCCCGTATAGCCTTAACAGACTGTAGGGGCAAGTGCTGCTAGCGATCACCTATGAAGGCCGGAACGGTACACGAGGGGGTGGGTGGCCAGCACCACGCCCGACCGCCGTTGTCTCCCCAGTGGCAATGTTTACACACCACACCAGGTACTAGAGGAGGCCCAGGACCGGTTCAGATAATCGTCACTGGTGTTGGCCGTGAGCGGGAATCGAACCCGGGTCGAAGCTACACTACCGCTCCCCACACACTGCTGCACACACACACGCAGCAACAGCAGCAGCAGTGTCCAGGCACCATCATCCACCTTCAGGCCCTCACCTGGTTCAGGCCCTCACCTAGTTCAGGCCCTCACCTGGTTCAGGCCCTCACCTGTTCAGTTTTTTCACCTGGTCCAGGCTCTCATCTGGTTCAGTCTCTCACCTGTCCAGGCTCTGACCTGTTCAGGTTCCCACCTGTTCAGGCTATCACCCATTCAGGCCAGCATGAGAGAAACGTTGAGCTCTGGCTCCACACCTCTGAGTGTTTCGATGGAACAACGCATCCAATTGTTACGAGGTTTATTGCTATGGTTATTGTTGTTGTTACGGCTCTGTTGTATGCGCGGTGTGGGCTGCAGGAGCGGCTGGGTGCAGGGCGGTGTGAGCGCCGTGCCGCGCGTGCGCCCGCTGCCCCAGTGCGCCCACAACCTCACGGGCGTCGTGCTCGACCCCATCTCCACGGCGCGCCTCGATGCGTTCTGCTACAACGCTTCAGGTGCCCCCCTCCCCCCCCCCCTACCACCACCGCCGCAACCACCACCAGCACCACCAACGTCACCGCCGCAACCACCACCAGCACCGCCACCATCACCAGTGCCGCCACCACCACCGTCCACCGCAACCAACACCAGCATAACCACCAGCACCGGTACCACCAACATCACCGCCGCCACCACGACCACTGCCACCACCACCACTAGTTAGGTATATGGGATAGAGCGTTGCCCCCTCACACGTGTAGGTTTTCTCCAGATGCTCCGGTTTTCTTTCCGCATTTATAACATGGCTGAAAACACTGTCATATATAGAGGGCCGCAAAGCTTGTGCAATTGTTGGTGCCAGTTCACCGTGCGGCTGTGCGCTGCCTTCCTATTTAACTCTGGTTCTAAATTTAAATTACTAATTTCGGCAGCCCGTGGCCGCCTTGTTCTAGCTCCAGCGGAGGGTTTCTCGCCCGTCATCTTCTGCCCCCCCCCTGCCCCATGTGTGCAGACACTACTCACTTTATTGTATGTAGGGTGTGTAAGTATATATGCCTACAAAATAAATCTCTTTTGTTGGGGGTGGGGGAGTGAATAATAGATTCAAAATATACGATTATTATTTTTTTAATCACGGTTGCACAGCACGGCCGTGCCCAATGCCCAAAATGCCAAGCGGCCAGCAGTAAGCAGCACTCATTTGCTGGACATCCTTCCGCCAGCAGTGGCATGAGCAGAAAGCAATATCAGAGCTGCGCCTTTAGCCCCTCGGGCCAAATTCTCTTTCAAATGTGACACAGATAACTCATTTTTTTCTTAAACAAAAAAATGCAAGAAGAATAGGCTTTACCCTTTCTGGCGATAAAAAAAAACATGCGTTATAAGATGTTCAAACATCAAATAGGTACCTGTTTCAGATGTTCATCGAATACTGGGAAAAAGGTCCCGTAGATATAACTGCTCAACCCTACCGATTAATACTTTGATACCTGCATTGCCTTTGTACTGTTCGTCTATTGGCGTTCTCTGGTGTGACACTGTTGAGACAAGGCCATAAAGAAGGCTGTCTCTGGTGTGGGCCAATCAGAGTACGAAGACAATGCATATATTATCAGGTCACGTGTGTTTGCATGTATGTATGTACGTGTGGTTAATTCAGACTTAATGCTTTGAAATAGGTATCTATTTGGTGGTTGAACATCATATGTTGTATTGCCTGAAAGGGTAAAACCTATCATTATTTTGATACTGGCAAAAAGGGTCCCATGGATGCACACATTTAGTTGTGACGTCAAAAGGACCAGTGACTTTGATAACAACGCAGTCGTTAAGTATTTTGCTTTTATAACAATATACAGCACGGTGCTGTAATAATTATCATTTGTTGTCTGGAATTGAAGTGGAACGGGTGCTGCAGCGCTGCCCTGTTGCGGTGCGAAGGTGTAGGTGACCCCGTGTGACCTTGTTAGGTCTCCGTGGCAACGGTGCATAAACAGACGCGACACACCTCACTTGCACATCCTGGAATTTTTTTTGGATGTAAAAAATGAATGAAAGCCGGTCGGTGAACATCGAGTGAAGGGCGAAGCAGCTCATGCAAATCACAGCCTAGGGATGGGGGGTGTAGGCTCATGATCGTGAGATACAGTGAGGGAAAAATTATTTGATCCCCTGCTGATTTTGTACGTTTGCCCACTAACAAAGAAATGATCAGTCTATAATTTTGATGGTAGGTTTATTTGAACAGTAAGAGACAGAATAACAACAAAAATTCCAGAAAAACGCATGTCAAAAATATTATAAATTGATTTGCATTTTAATGAGGGAAATAAGTATTTGACCCCTCTGCAAAACATGACTTAGTACTTGGTGGCAAAACCCTTGTTGGCAATCACAGAGGTCAGACGTTTCTTGTAGCTGGCCACCAGGTTTGCACACATCTCAGGAGGGATCTTGTCCCACTCCTCTTTGCAGATCTTCTCCAAGTCATTAAGGTTTCGAGGCTGACGTTTGGCAACTCGAACCTTCAGCTCCCTCCACAGATTTTTTATGGGATTAAGGTCTGGAGACGGGCTAGGCCACTCCAGGACCTTAATGTGCTTCTTCTTGAGCCACTCTTTTGATGCCTTGGCCGTGTGTTTTGGGTCATTGTCATGCTGGAATACCTATCCACGACCCATTTTCAATGCCCTGGCTGAGGGAAGGAGGTTCTCACCCAAGATTTGATGGTACATGGCCCCGTCCATCGTCCCTTTGATGCAGTGAAGTTGTCCTGTCCCCTTAGCAGAAAAACACCCCCAAAGCATAATGTTTCCACCTCCATGTTTGACGTTGGGGATGGTGTTCTTGGGGTCATAGGCAGCATTCCTCCTCCAAACACGGCGAGTTGAGTTGATGCCAAAGAGCCCCATTTTGGTCTCATCTGACCACAACACTTTCATCCAGTTGTCCTCTGAATCATTCAGATGTTCATTGGCAAACTTCAGACGGACATGTATATGTGCTTTCTTGAGCAGGGGGACCTTGTGGGCACTGCAGGATTTCAGTCCTTCACGGCGTAGTGTGTTACCAATTGTTTTCTTGGTGACTATGGTCCCAGCTGCCTTGAGATCATTGACAAGATCCTCCCATGTAGTTCTGGGCTGATTCCTCACCGTTCTCATGATCATTGCAACTCCACGAGGTGAGAACTTGCATGGAGCCCCACGCCGAGGGAGATTGACAGTTCTTTTGTGTTTCTTCCATTTACGAATAATCGCACCAACTGTTGTCACCTTCTCACCAAACTGCTTGGCAATGGTTTTGTTGCCCATTCCAGCCTTGTGTAGGTCTACAGTCTTGTCCCTGACATCCTTGGAGAGCTCTTTGGTCTTGGCCATGGTGGAGAGTTTGGAATCTGATTGATTGATTGCTTTTGTGGACAGTTCTCTTTTATACAGGTAACAAGCTGAGATTAGGAGTACTCCCTTTAAGAGTGTGCTCCTAATCTCAGCTCGTTACCTGTATAAAAGACACCTGGGAGTCAGAAATATTTCTGATTGAGGGGTCAAATACTTATTTCCCTCATTAAAATGCAAATCAATTTATAACATTTTTGACATGCGTTTTTCCGGATTTTGTTGCTCTTCTGTCTCTCACTGTTCAAATAAACCTACCATTAAAATTATAGACTGATCATTTCTTCGTCAGTGGGCAAACGTACAAAATCAGCAGGGGATCAAATACTTTTTTCCCTCACTGTACGAGTTCGAATCTTTATCAGTGTTGTTGACTCAGCAACCTGAATGAATGAATACTCGTTATCATCGTCATCATCATCAATGGCGTCATCACAATCATCAGCATCTACGTCATCATCATTGTCGTCATAGAATTTCTTGCTGTGGTTGTCACACCTGATGATGATTGCTTGTGTTGCAATCGAAACGTCGAGTTTTTATTTATGTATTTTCTTTTATTTTTTTATTTTATTTTCTTTACCTACGTGACTTTACCGAAAGAATCAAGAGTATGGATCCTTGCAGTTACGAAAACTTCAAATCTAGAATGAATTGTCGTCATCACCATCAATTCATCATCATTGCTCACTGTCATCATCGTGATCTTCACTATCATCATCATTGTCATTATCGTTCTCATTATCATCATCGTCATCATCGTTTCTATCATTGTCATGATAATCGACAATCTTTTCTCAATGGAAAGTCGCTCATTCTCCTCTGCTGCCCCCATAGTTTGGAACTCCCTCCCACTCAACCGTCCATGCTGTTGTCTCCATACAAGAATAATAATAATTCAATCGTCACAAATCCCACCTTCGGTAATCTGGCCCAAATGTATGTAGAGCTTATTTCGCACCGTATGTAGCCAACCGTGATAATCAGACATGCGGGGGAAGGACAACAAACTAAACACAAACAAATTGTTATAAACAAATTAGTTTTAAATTGAGAAACGAGTTTTCAATTTAGAGTAATTTGCAGCACTTGCCAAAACCGGTTACGCTGTACATTCACCCCTTGTTATGCATGGGAACTCAATCGGAGGTGCGGGAATCCTCTGGCAACCATTCGCTCAAAAGGATACCCGCCACTTGCAGAGCGTGTCCGCGGCCCCTGGTTTTGGTTGTGTGATCGCGACGCTTCGTGCAAAGCTGGTCGTGTTTGCCTTTCGCAGAAACCCGGGTGAACTCCTGCGACCCTTCGTTCGGAACGCGATCTCCACCGCTGGTGAAAGGGACTTCGGCAAAACCCGGCTCGGAGTCAACGGCGACGCCAGAGCTTGGAGCGCGGACGACTGGCGCGATCCCCATCTCCCACCGCTCTCCAATTGTCAACGGCCTCCCCACAAACTCACGAGCAGCGACAGGTCAGTGGGCAGCGTCTGGAGGGTGGACATCTGTGAAAAATAGTTTTATAATAATAGGGTTTTTCCCCTTTTTCTGGCAACAAAACTGAAACCTTTTTACGAGGATTCATGTCTGCATTAACCACAATACCTGCAGTCAAAATGCGAACAAAAAACATACTATGATAATATATGCATTGCCCTTGAAACTAATTGGTCCACACCAAGGGACGGCTTTCTTTTGAGCTGTATGCCTTTTGGCGTCCTCTGGTTGAGCACCAATTGGGTCGAGGCTCAAAAGAAAGCCGTCCCTTGGTGTGGACCAATTAGTTTCAAGGGCAATGCATATATTATCATAGTATGTTTTTTGTTCGCATTTTGACTGCAGGTATTGTGGTTAATGCAGACATGAATCCTCGTAAAAAGGTTTCAGTTTTGTTGCCAGAAAAAAGGGTAAAAACCCTATTATATTTTGGTACTGGCAAAGGAGGTCTAATGATGAAATAGTTTTATAGTTAATCGGATTCCTCCAGTATAAATGTTCTGATTCTGGAACACAGTCACTCGTGGCACAAGCTTTGAACCTCAGTGACGTGGCCAACATATTTCTCTTTTTAACAAAAAATCACAATTATCGTCATCATGTACATATGCATTTTTAACTTTTGCAATGTGCTAATCGGAGGTACAGGGAAAGGACAACAAACTAAACACAAAAATCAGTAAAACGTGGCTTATCACGTGGGAATTTATAGCAGCCAAATCCCTTAAATGCGTGATGTTGATTCTAAATTCGGAGAGAAAAACCTGAGGACCTGGAGAAAAATCCACGCGACCACGGAGAGAGAAACATGCAAACTCCAAGTATACAGGTGTCAGGGTCTATCCCACGACCTCCTGTATATCAGGCTAGGTAGTTAACATCTCGCCACCGCGGCACCCCCTTACAACATAGTTCGTGTGGAAAATTCCAGCAGAATTTCTTGGAATTTTGTTGCACAACACAGACGAGTGTCAGACCGGATGACGATAAACCTGGGGCTGTTGAACTTGCAAGCGCGCGTTTCCATCACCACGTTTTCCGTTCTGAACTTGGCATAAAACTCAGCGACTCTCCAGAATTCCAGGGAGGCAGCAAAGAGCCGGAGACAGCATCCACTGCTCAGTAACACTTGTGACTGGAGTTGACAGGCGGTGATGATGGTAATGTTATTGGAGTGCACGAATGTGCCAGGTTCGTGTCAGTGAGAAATTTCCATCCTGGGTAGCAGAGGCTGAAAACTGGACAGAGGAATGTGTGGTGCGATTATTCTTTTTTGTTGTTCTGTTATTTTACGAGGCAGCCGAAACTTATTTAATTGCACGTCAAATCAAATCACCGGTGCATTTTTAATGAACACCGTGCTTACAGGGCGAAAGGCTACCATGAAGGAAGGCGCTATTTGTTGTTGTTGTTCCTGCAACAACATGACGGGGCCCGGCAAAACCACAACCGGGAGATTCCAACAACAAGATACAACAGAAAATCCGCGAACATCCATTCCAGCACGGTGGAGCCACGCGGAAGTGGCGACACGAAGAGGAGTAGGGCCCCCCTACCCCACTGCTGCCCCAATCAAGTGGGGGCCAAGCGCAGGGGGGGGGGGGGGGGGGGTGAGATGAAGATTTTAATGAGGAAGGGAGAAATGGGGGGGGGGTGTGAAGATTTTAATGAGGGTAGACGGAGGGGGGGGGTGATGATTTTAATGAGGAAGGGAGAAATGGGGGGGGGTGTGAAGATTGTAATGAGGAGGGTAGACGGAGGGGGGGGGGTGAAGATTTTAATGAGGAGGGGAGATGGGGGGGGCGAGGAATAACCAGCACTCACTAAGGGAAGGTGAAGGCGCTGTAATGGCAGATGTCGTCGAGGAGGCCTGCCGACAATGATGAGAGGAGAGGCTACAGGACGGGGATCAGCAAGGGCGTTGTGTAGTGCAGAAGAGCATAGTTCCGTGGGGGGGGGGGGGAGGCGACGTTACCAAACACTCATTCCAATTCATCGCTTTGGCGATATTGCTGCTCCTGCTGCTGCTCCGTTAGCAAGTGCTGCACAAGCGAAGTTATCCATGAGGTTTTTTTGGGGTTAGATCGCATAAATTTAAATGTGTCGTTAAACCCCCAACCACCAGGCACAGCCAATTTTTAAGGTTTGTCACGTAAACAGAACATGCCAATTCGTTACTAGTACAGCACACCGGTTTGTTGGAGAGTAAACCCAAAACATATATAATTACTAGCACAGTTAACAGGAAATAAACTGCACACACAATCGTCAGCAACAGCGTGGCCTTAAAATATATATATACAATTGGTGATGGCCCTTCTTCGTGGTGCATGTAAAAGGGCCATTGCCCAAAACGTCGCCGATTAAAAATATTGTTTTAATTTTAAGGCATCGTTGTCGCTGTTGTGTGAGTGTGTTGAGTTTGCTTCTCGCTGAGATGGAATCGGTCAAACACATCTGCAAACGAGACCTGCCTGAAAAAACTTGAAACTTAGCGAGGCTTTTCCCTGGACAATGCAATTACTTCGCTTTATATTCACACGTATTTATTGAAACGATCTCTGTACAAGGTTCAAATGGCCATTGGCAATGAAAATGCAAAGGCGGCCGGGCGTAGCGTTGGCCACACCTAATCCCCCGCACATCCGATGAGCACGGTTGGTTATGTACGGAGCGAAAGAAGTCCAACATACGTACCATACCGAAGCCACAACCACGCTCTTTGGGTGTGGCGAGGCGATGACTCACAGGCGTGCGCCGTGCTGCAGGGTCACAGAAAGCAGCAGGCGTCTCGATGCTCGGTGACAAGCCGAGGGAGCTCACGATCTTTTAAAACGAAAAACTCTCCAACACACCGGTGGGCTGAAGTAGTAAACCAATTGGCGCTTTGTTTACGTGACAAACCCGACTGGCTGTGTCGGGTGGTGGAGGGTTACGACACATTAATACTTACGCGATCTAACCCAAAAACCTTTATTATGAGTAATATTGGTCGCGAAAGCCTGTTACGTGTTAAACTAAAAACTAAACTTTTGTTATACACCAGGTGAAGCCCACTGAGCTATGAGCAATTTTTTTTCAGAGGCGACCTGCCCACATGTGACGATATGCAATTGAAGTGGCTCATATCATCATCATCATCATCATCATAAAATGTTGGAATTTATAGCAGCAGCCATTTCATCTTAGCGCGTGTTGTTTCTTAATGTGGAGGGCAGTAAAAATCTGAGCAACCCGGAGAAACCTCCACGCGCCCACCACGTGGAGAGAGAGAGAACACGCAGGCTCTAAATATGAGGGTCTGGGATCGAACCCCCGTTTTCCTGCGTACCAGGAGCCGCCGGAGCATTCGTTCGAAATATATATTTTACAATTTGTAATCGAGGCGGTGGAAAGAGAATGCTCTTTTCCGCATCTCCGATTAGCACGGTTGGCCACGTACGGTGCGAAAGAAGTTCGACGTACATACAATGCAGCTTTGAACTTTTCGTTGCTGGGTTTTCGGCATCGACTGCAGTCAAATGGCGAAAAGAAAAACACGGGGAGAAACCTGAAGCGGTCCGATAGTCACAAAACAATACGCGCCGTGGACGCATCGCGGCTAATTGCGGCTGCATCTCGAGTTACCGCGCGAAAGCGGTGCGCATGTTTATTTTATGGGCAGGCGGTCATCAGTCGTTGGCAGTGGAATAGAGGGAAGGTGATGTGCCTGGACTGGAGCAGAGAGACAGGCGGAGTCAACAACACGGGTGGCCGAGGGAAGGATGTTGTAGAGGAGAATGGACCAAAAGGTTGTCGATGATGATGACGATGAGCGGTGATGTGGCGCAGCGGGTAGCGTGTTTGCCGCTTGTTGCAGAGGTTTTGTGGTTCGTGGTTGGAACCCGCCAGGCCGCCCCGGTTATTACCGCCGTGCGTATTAAGTGTACAGATACACGCCATCTGCTTCCGCAATGTAATTTCAATGGAGTAGGCCGTTTTGTGCCAGTGTCCAAATAAAATAAAAATACTCTTTGGTTTTTTCGGTAAAGTCACAAATCAAATGAATGAAAACTAAATTAAATCATAATTTAGTTGTTTTCATTCATTTTATTTGATTTATTTTTACCTACGTGACTTTACCGAAATAAACAGAGTATGAATCCTTGCAGTCACGAAAGCTTCTAATCTAGAAAATAAAAATAAATACTTGCTTATTCCTCAATTCAGAATACACACAGAGCAACATCGCACCCTAATGTCAAACTACTACCGATGTCAAACTACTACAGACGCGAACACAAAATCTACTCCATTATAACTATTGTCATAATTCACGAGAAACATGACAGCGATGACGACGACGCTGACGACAATAACAACGATGACGACGACGACGGTACTTAATGGCACTGGGTCATCTCGTGCATCCGTGATAGCGCGGTCGAATTATTCGAGTTTGCAAGAAATGTGGACGAGGCCTTGAAAAAACGCCGCATGTCCTAGCCCCACACGTGGAAAAAAATCGAGACTCGCGCGGCCGGTCAGTGCCCATGCCGTCACTCGATCTGGGTTTTTTAATTAATCATCTTTCCCAACCCCATTACCCCCCCCCGCACCCCCCTTGCTCGAAGGCAAGTCTCAGCAGCACAAGGCAGCGCTGCTGCGCCTTCCAGCCACGCTGGCTGGCTGCTGTTGTTGCTGCCGCCACCACTGCCGCTATTAGTGGCTTTACCCGTTGTCGGCAACGCCCAGAGGATGTTTGACGTTCGTCATGCTTTGAGTTCCGCGTCCAAATTATAACGACCTGCCCGGGCTTGAGCACAATTCTGAGATAATGCGCCACTGTACACGAAGAAGAAGCCCCCGTAGTTGTGTCTTTTCTGTTTGCGCTTTATGTTAAGCACGTTATGGCTAGTGTACGTATATGGGTATATGTATGTGGGAGCGTGGTGCAATGGTTAGCGCGCGGCGCTATAAACCCGGCGACCCGATTTCG